TACTTCAACAAGTACTTGAAGGGACGCGGGTGGTCTGGTTGTTAAACCACAGAGCCTAGGGCTTGCCGATCAGAAGGTTGGCAGTTCAAATCCCCACGACGGGGTGAGCTCCTGTTGCTCGGTCCCTGCTCCTGCAACCTAGCAGTTCGAAAGAACATCAAAGTGCAAGTAGATAAATAGGTACCGCTCTGGCGGGAAGGTAAATGGCGTTTCTGTGCGCTGTTCTGGTTCACCAGAAGTAGCTTAGTCATGCTGGCCACATGACCCGGAAGCTGTACGCCGGCTCCCTCAGCCAGTAAAGCGAGATGAGCGCCACAACCCCAGAGTTGTCTACAACTGAGTCTAATGGTCAGGGGTCCCTTCACCTTTACCTTTACTTGAAGTACCAAACCAAGAATTACAACAATCTCTTCCTCAAATGGTTCAGCCTCCACCACCTTTACTGCAGTCAACAGAAGGCAACCAACTATGCCCGGGGCTAATGAAAACTAATAAATGAAAAGGAATAGAACCTAGCCATGTCACACTGACACAAACACCTTGCATATGAACTTTGTAAAATAATGAAAGTGTACTAATTTATTACTTGTACCCCGCCCATCTGGCTGGGTTTCCCCAACCACTCTGGGCGGCTTCCAACAAAGATGAAAAATACACTAAAATGTCACATATTAAAAACTTCCCTGAACAGGGCTGCCTTCAGATGTCTTCTGAATGTCAGGTAGTTGTTTATCGCTTTGACATCTGATGGGAGGGCGTTCCACAGGACGGGCGCCACTACCGAGAAGGCCCTCTGCCTGGTTCCCTGTAACTTGGCCTCTCGCAGTGAGGGAACCGCCAGAAGGCCCTCGGAGCTGGACCTCAGTGTCCGGGCAGAACAATGGGGGTGGAGACGCTCCTTCAGATATACTGGACCGAGGCCGTTTAGGGCTTTAAAGGTCAGCACCAACACTTTGAATTGTGCTCGGAAACTTACTGGGAGCCAATGTAGGTCTTTCAAGACCGGTATTATATGGTCTCGGCGGCTGCTCCCAGTCACCAGTCTAGCTGCCGCATTCTGGATTAGTTGTATATCTGAAGTAAACAGCCACTCTGGGCAGCTCCCAATCAAGTGTTAAAAACAGTACAGCATTAAATATTAAAACCCTACCTAAACAGGGCTGCCTTCAGATGTCTTTTTTTTTATAAGATATTTTATTAAGATTTTCAAAGTATTACAGAATAAAAAGGAAAAAAAAGAAAATAAAAAGAAAATAAAAAAAATGGTTAAAATCAACTCCATCTTTCCATTACTTATTTTTCATTAGCTTATTTCCCGGACCTCCTCACGCCTCCCTTTTTTGTATTCCAATTCGGTTTGTTGGTTCAGCAAATCTTTGTTTATCCTAGTCTTTAATTTTAAAATATCATGACATTAAGTTTTTACCTAAATAATCCATTTTTCATATTCCCTTATAATATCACAGCTGAAAACCACTTAATTTCTATCCAACATCATTCTAACATTCATCAATTTTACAATATTTCTGTAGATAGTCTTTAAATTTCTTCCAATCTTCTTCCACCGACTCTTCTCCCTGGTCTCGGATTCTGCCAGTCATTTCCGCCAGTTCCATATAGTCCATCACCTTCATCTGCCATTCTTCCAGAGTGGGTAGATCTTGTGTCTTCCAGTACTTTGCAATAAGTATTCTTGCTGCTGTTGTGGCATACATAAAAAAGTTCTGTCCTTCTTTGGCACCAATGGCCAACTATGCCCAGGAGAAAGGCCTCTGGTTTCTTCAAGAAGGTATATTTAAATACCTTTTTCATTTCATTATATATCATCTCCCAGAAAGCCTTAATCCTTGGGCACGTCCACCAAAGGTGAAAAAATGTACCTTCAGTTTCTTTACATTTCCAACATTTATTATCGGGCAAGTGATAGATTTTTGCAAGCTTGACTGGGTCATGTACCACCTGTATATCATTTTCATAATATTCTCTCTTAAGGCATTACATGCCGTAAACTTCATACCTGTGGTCCATAACTGTTCCCAGTCAGCCATCATTATGTTATATCCAACATCTTGTGCCCATTTAATCATAGCAGATTTCACCGTTTCATCCTGAGTATTCCATTTCAACAGCAAGTTATACATCTTTGACAAATTCTTAGTTTTGGGTTCTAACAGTTCTGTTTCCAATTTTGATTTTTCCACCTGGAAGCCAATTTTCTTATCCAAATTATATGCCTCCATTATCTGATAATAATGAAGCCAGTCTCGCACTTTGTTTTTTAGTTTCTCAAAACTCTGCAATTTCAGTCTATCTCCACTTGTTCCAAAATTTCCCAATATTTCGGCCATTTGGCCTCCATATTGAGCTTTTTCTGAGCTTCGCTTCCATCGGTGACAGCCACCTTGGGGTTTTATTTTCCAATAAGTCGCTTGTATCTTATCCAAGCATTAAACAGTGCTTTCCTGACAATATGATTTTTAAATGCTTTATGTGCTTTGACCTTATCATACCACAGATATGCATGCCATCCAAATACGTTGTTAAAACCTTCTAAATCCAAAATGTCTGTATCTTCAAGAAGTAGCAATTCTTTCAACCAGCAAAAAGCTGCTGATTCATAGTAAAGTTTAAAGTCTGGCAGGGCAAATTCCACCTCTTTCCTTTGCATCAGTTAATATCTTAAATTTTATTCTGGGCTTCTTGCCCTGCCAGACAAATCTAGAAATATCTCTCTGCCACTTCTTGAAACAGTCCATCTTGTCCACAATTTGCAATGTTTGAAACAAAAACAACATTCTAGGCTTCAGATGTCTTTTAAAGATAGGATAGCTGCTTATTTCCTTCACATCTGAAGGGAGGGTGTTTCACAGGGTGGGTGCCACTACCGAGAAGGCCCTCTGTCTGGTTCCCTGTAACCTCACTTCTCGCAATGAGGGAACCGCCAGAAGACCCTCAGCGCTGGATCTCAGTGTCCAGGCTGAACGATTTTTCAGTGTGACATGAATAGTATTAGTTTTCACTGGCAGTGAGAAAGATCGGGGGGCCCAGGGCATAGTTGGTTGCCTTCAGTTGACTGCAGTAAAGGTGGTGGAGGCTGAACCATTTTGAGGAACAGATTGTTGTAATTCTTGGAAAGGGATGGAAAAGAGCACGGCTACATCGTGGTTTGGTACTTCAAGTAAAGGTAAAGGTAAAGGGACCCCTGACCATTAGGTCCAGTTGCGGACAACTCTGGGGTTGCACCGCTCATCTCGCTTTACCCGCCGAGGTAGCCGTTTACCTTCCCACCGGAGCGGAACCTATTTATCTACTTGCACTATGACGTTCTTTCGAACTGCTAGGTTGGCAGGAGCAGGGACCGAGCAACAGGAGCTCACCCCATCGCTGAGATTCGAACCATGACCTTCTGATCGGCAAGCCCTAGGCAAAAACAAGCAAAAACAGTTTAAAAACACCTCAAACATTTTCAATATCTTATATTTCATTCACTTATTTCCAGCGACCTCCTCCCACCTCCCTTTTTGTATTCTACTTCTTCTAATTTTTCAGCAATTCCTTTCCATCTTACTCTGTTTTCTGTTCTATAATTATCTTAACACATTCTTGCCATACTTTTCCTTTAATTTTCTATTAACCTATCTATACCTAATTCCTTATGACATTTCTGCCAAAGCCATATAATTTCATTCCAACATTTTTCTAACATTCCTTAATTTTACAATATCTCTATAAATGGTCTTTAAACTTTTTCCAATCTTCTTCCACCGACTCTTCACCCTGGTCTCGGATCTTGCCAGTCATTTCCGCCAATTCCATATAGTCCATCAATTTCATCTGCCATTGTCCAATGCTTCAATGTTTTCAAAAAGGAACCATTCTCTCAACCAGCAAAAAGCAGATAGTTCACAGCAAAATTTAAAGGTCTGGCAGGCATGTCCTCCTCCTCCTTCTTTGGCATCCATCAGTATCTTAAGTTTTACTCGAGGCTTCCTGCCCTGCCAAACAACTCTAGGAGCATCCCTCTGCCACCTCCTGAAACCCTCCATCCCATCCAAGGCTTGCAGTGTTTGAAACAAAAGCAACATCCCCAACAACACAGCAGCCCTCATCCCCACCACAGTAACTCGGCCCAACAGTGACAACTTCTGATTTGTCCATATTTCCAAATCCCCCTTCTCCTCAATCCAACATCCTTCACAGTTATCCTTAAGCAAATTCACATTTTTGGCAGTCATACTAACCCCCAAATACCTCTCTTTCTCAACCAATGTTAGTATCGCCTCCTGAAACTCTGTCAAGCTTTCCTTTTCCAATTCAGATAGGGCTCTGGTCCTCAAATTCATCCGTTCTTCTTCATGTTCAATCATAACGAATGTCAACTTATGTTCGTCAGGTTGTCTTTGTATGGATGGGACTCTCCTCTCCAGTTGTATTATTTTAGATTCAGCAGCAAGGGTTTCCCCTCTAATTTCATCTGCAGTTTGCCATATCGAAGTAGATTCCTGTGTCTGTTTCTGAGTGGTTTCTGAATTAGTATTCACCTTTTGTCCCAAGTTATTTAAACTTTCTACAATTGAATCAATTTCAATATTTGCAACATCCAATTTCACATTTCTCGCATCTGTTTTCTTGTGGAGTTGTTCCAGCGAATCGTTTATTTTCAATAATGCAGCCACTAAGCCTCCTCTGTCGACATCTCGTCTGTTTTTTCCTTTCTGTTTGCCATAACACTTAAAAGATTCAAGGTCAATTCCAAAGTCTCACACTTTCTTATCTTGCAGCTGGAAATTCCCCTAGCCCAGCTCCTATCAAGTAACCAATTTCAAAAGCTTCCACTAGGGGAAAGCGAGTTGTATTTGTATCGGTCAGTATGTCCTCTTTTAAACAGTTTCAATAATCCAAAGTTAGTTTCAATTTTCAGTTACTTTCCTCCTTTTTTAATAAAGTTCAGTAAGATTGTTTCAATTTTCCTTTACTTTTACTCCTTTTTAAGTGCAGACGAAGACAATGGAAACAATGTATCTCTCTTATGCTAGCTGTCACCGAACGTTCTATTCGCTGTCAATGAACCTTCCAAGACATGTCGGTTTTACTGGCAGCCCGTTTCCAGGTTCGGAACGGTGGTATTTTAACTTCCTCACTCACTCCTGCAGGAATATACAATCCAAAGCCTCCCCACTCTTCTCCTGCTTCCAAGGGGGGTTTAATATTTTTTACTGATGAGAATTTAGTCCTTTACAATAGGCTTTCCAAGACTTTAGCTTGCAGCCTCTTTGCCTCAGTCTTATTTACAAAAAGGGGAGGTGGACTTCCTGTTTTGAACCTCCCCCGTTTCAGTGCCAAATTAAGATGTTTTAAAAATCCAATTCTTCACTCTACCATGGGTAGTTGCTTTAAAATCAAATTGTGCACAGGAAAAAGTCAGCGCTCTCCGCAACAGCTATGCGGCTTCGCTTCGTGGAAGAAGCAGTCGATCCGAAGCACCGCGCCGCTCACCCCACATTGCTCCGGATCCCCGAAACCGGGTTTCCCTACGAGTAGGGGAGGCGCAAAAGGTGCCCGCCGAATCCCACATTCACAGGCTTCACCCGCCTGTGATTTTTAGTGGGTCTCCGCCTTCGCCGTGGCGGCCAGACCCGAATTTCCACGAGGCAAATTCATCCTGATCAGAGGAATTCTGCCATTGCCGGTGGCGCCAACTCGGAAGACTTGAAGTACCCTTCAAGTACTTGTTGTTAAAGTTGTTCCATGGAACTCCTGATCTGGACCTTGTGTTGAAATGAATTATCTCCATCACAAAAATAAGTTTTGAAGCTTTACTGCAGAACAGTCTTAAACAGTCTAACAATAAGATAAGCATGATAAAGTAGCACATTGCAAACAATGATCAGTCCTTTATGTAATTCAGTCAGCTTTCCTCTCTCTGGTCCCAGAGGGAGATCCTAAGCTTCTTCAACATTGCATGACTTATTTGCAATTGCTGCTGCTGCTTCTCCTAGCCATCTCCAGCAAGAACACACTGGCTTCTCAAGTTTAAGCTTCCTTCCATGAGAGCTCTGCAGCTTATGCCTCCAGCGATGAGTTATGAGGAAAGATCCAGCCTCCTCTGAGGCTTCTGTCAGAGTGGAACCTCTTGCCTAAGTCTAAGAGAAACTTCCCTTTATAGTATTCTTATTACAATGCGTTCAAGCACAGCATTATATGTACATTAAATTTGCTGATTAAATCCTGCCATCCAGTCAGCGCTTCCACTGCGTTCCTTTGCTGGGGCTGACCTGGGCAGAAAATACAGAGTCGCAGCGGTCCTGCCGTCCGTGTGAGATACAGGGATAAATCAGTCCAAAGACAGTTCGTTGCTATTTCTAAAAACGTTTATTTACAAGCCGTAAATCCATCAGAAACCTCCGGCATTTCTCCAGTGCTAAAAAGCACACGCAGCTTCTGTGCAGCGTCTCTCAGTCTAAAGTGAAACCAACTCTCACAGACAAAGATGGACAAAGCGTCTGACGTATGGCCCTGCGTCAGGCCCCTCCCCAGATACAGGACACCAAGGAGTTTTAACCCTGTAAACTCCAAACTCCACACCCCCTCTTGTTCTGCATCTGGGGGAAACAAGCAACAATGCTCACCCCAAACACAAAACTCCTCATGCTTCTGGAAGGTTAACGGTTTCATGAAACCATCAGCGAGGTTCTTGGTTGAGGGACAGTATTTCAGAGCAACTAGCCCCTCACGAACGCTCTGACACACATTCTGAAAACGTATGTCCAGATGTTTGGTCCTGGCCTTGAATCGCCCCGTCTCGGTCAATTTGAGGCATGGCTGGTTGTCTTCATGCACCACGATGGGTAGACAATGCTCTCCACAGAGTTCCTGGACCTAACACGCATAGAACTCCAGTTCTCTGCAAACCTCAGATAGCGCACTGAACTCAGCTTCAGTAGATGAAAGCACTGAGACTTTGCTTACGGGACCTCCACCCAACTACTGAGTTCCCAAACTTCAACACTAGGCCTGACACTGATTTGCAGTCCTCAAGGTTAGCCCAATCTGAATCCACCTAGGCAGTAAGCTTGACACCACCCTCAGCTGACATCTTAAGGCAAAAGTCTTTGGTATCTTGCAGGTAACGCAGCACCCATTTAATACCATTCCAGGCCTGTACACTTGGACTCGAAGCCTCTCTACTGAGCAGATTGATAGCGAACGCTATATCTGGTCTGCTCCACTGTGACAGATACAGTAGACTACCCAGAGCTGATTGAAAGAGTTCAGCATTTTCAAACACAGCGCGTTCTGCTTGCTGACATTCTTTCACGTAACCAGCCCCATGGCGTTTTGACACCTGCACACTCAGACATTCTGAACTTCTCAAGCAACTGCTCAATCTTACCTTTCTGGCTGAGCAAAAAGCTTCCATCTTTCGTTCTAGTGATCCCTACGCCAAGATACGACTTGACGTCTCCAAGCTGCTTGAGCTTGAACCGCTTTCCAAGCTCTCTAGCAAACTTCTGCACTTGTTTACCTGTCTGTGCTATGTATAAAATATCATCAACAAAAATCTGAGCAGCTTGCTGTGTCTCACCTGATCCTTTAAGGTAGAGACAACTGTCAGCAACACTTCTCCTGAAAGGGGAATGGGAACACTGCCCTTGCCTGCTGTGCCCATAAATCACCCCAAATTCGAAAGAGGGGGTGAGGGCAGTAGGCAGAATGCCCCTGTGTGGACTTCGGCTCCTCCTGGACGCTGTCTCTGATAGCGCACTAGCTGCAGCAATTTGGAATAATTAATTACAAAAGAAAGCAAATGCACATATTTCAAGTGAAGAAGGGAGTGAAGACTGCTAATTGCGAAAGAAGACGATGGGTTGGAGCAACAGGAATATTTTATGATGAAGATACATCAAAGGCTGGGTATGTGGCAACAGGACTGAATAAGGGGGGACGACCTTTTTTACTTTTCTTCTATGTGATTACCAAGAACCCTCCCTCATTAGAACCGTCGGTTTAACTGACCCAAGCAGGATGATTAAGGTCTGTGTGGAAATAAACTTTAACCAAAAGTATGCTTTATGGAGATCGAGAAGGAATTAAGAGCTTTTGGAATGGCACAGCAATTAATTCAAAATCGCCATCTTGCCAAAGGATTTACAGCCGGGAGGAGGAACGGATTTGTTTTCAGACTGCATTCCTGTTGAATCTCCTCAGAGGTTTGAGAAAGGCGACAGATTGAAATAATCTGGCATCAGTAACTTAGTGGAAAGTTGTATGAAAACAAGTGAACCATTGAAACAAGATTGAAACTTTGATTAATATTATGTCAAATTTAAATATCTAAATATTTGATAATAAAGCTTAAAATTGGTGACATAATATTTGAAAATTACAAAATAAGATTTGAAAGAAGGTGAAGAATTGCTGAATATAACTCTATAAATGGGAACACAAGAAAGGGAGATGTGAGGAAGTCCGAAAGAAAAGTTATGGAAATTTGTTTTATTGAAACTTAATTATGCTATTTGTTTTGTGTTTATTTCTCTTTTTGTATGTTGGTGACGGTGTTTTATTTGTTTGGTGATGTACTGTTTAAAACTTTAATAAACATTATTATAAAAAAAGAGAGAAAGGCAACAGATTAGTGAAGATTAATGACGCTAAGACTGTTTTGATTTATGGAAATGATGTTATATGGAAAAACGTCTGGATATGACTACTGGATAAAAAAAATATTCACACAGGATTACAAACTGTTTTAACCAGCTTGTGGAGACTATCAGAGGTCACAAAGAGAAAGGAAAAATATAGGAAAATAACAACAAGAGATGTGGAAAAACAATAAGAAAGGACTGGATAGTACTGTGATCATCATATGGTCAGATTTGTGGACATTAAAACAGCAGCAAGAAGTAAGAAGTTGATTGGATCCCCTTCGGAACTTGAAATATGGGTACCCCCAACAAAAATTTAAAATTCTGCTGTGTAATTTGGAATTTATGTAATTTGGTTTGATTTGATGTGATTGGTCGGTTAATAAAAATTATTCTTAAAAAAAAAAGGGAACTCCCAGAAGTGCAAGCTGGATTTCGAAGGGGCAGAGGAACCAGAGACCAAATTGCAAACATGTGCTGGATTATGGAGAAAGCTGGAGAGTTCCTGAAAAATATCTACTTCTGCTTCATTGTCTACGCAAAAGCATTTGACTGTGTCGACCACAGCAAACTATGGTAAGTTCTTAAAGAAATGGGAGTGCTTGATCACCTCATCTGTCTCCTGTGTGTTACAGAAAAATCTAGGTGAGGCTGCTCAGTCACCCAGCCCGTCAGGCGGAGCCCGCAGGTCCCTTGCGGAATAAAGGAAGGAGTCCAGCCATCAACTGGAGCAAATAGCTGTAGACCAAAGTTTATTGTGCAACAGGTTCAAAGAGGAATTTTGAACCCTGAGGATGTCAGTTTCTGTTTGCCAATGAGCAGCTGCTTAGAGTCACAAGGATCTGTTTACATTCCAGAGGCAGTCCAGGCTATTGGAAGTCTCCCGGGAGACTAGAGATGGATATGACGTACTGGTTTTCTGTTTCCTTTGTTCGGTTGCTCTTTGCTCTCACAGGGAGAGGATGTATTTTTCTTTGCTCTCTGTGTAGCTTAGTAATAAAGCATAGCATGTAGCCATAAATCTCATCACTTCTGCTGCTTTGATTCTCTGCTGAATGGAATGTGCCGGAAGCCTCATCAAAGGCTCAGGTCATTAATTTTTCGTTGGGAGGGCGATTCCGGAAGATGACCTTTATCAGCTTGGCACAACAGAGATTCCGACATTTCTGGTCCTGGGCGCAGAAGAACGGAATGCAGCTTAACTTCTCTGCGTGTCAAGAAGACTGATGAGAGGTATGTGCTCATTGCCCCGAGAAGCCTGCCAGGCCCTAATTATTGGCAATAAGGGGTGGACTTTGAACTTCTAGCCAAAGCACTTAATGGCAGCGGCAGGAGAAAGCAAAGGCCTCAAGTAGTGTGTTTTGGAATGCAGATGGTAAAAAGATGCGCTTGCTTTAAAGGCACAGACATGGCCAGTCCGTGTTTGTGCAAGAAACCATACATCAAGCACAGGAGAATTTTTTGGTTCTGACATGTGGGTTCACACACCACAATGCTCAAGTTAGGCAAACGTAGTTTGCATGGTATCATTCTAGAATATCAGAAAGGTTCTTATAGAATAATGAAGACTGACACCAACACAGTTAGGCTCACTAGAAGTGTTGAGTTACAATGCCAAGTTGGGGGGGGGGAGAGAATGTGGGAATTTTGCAATGTTATCCTGATGACAGTGAAGAGACTGAGGATGAACAGCAGCAAACCCCACACCCACCGATTAAGGTTCTGATTCTGAATCTGAAACTGACTCAGATGGGTTCAGAGGATTTCAAGAGTGCTAAGGCCTCTCTGCGACCCTCTGAAGACTCTGATCGAGAATTGGAGGGACCACTGTTACTATAGGCCACTTTTCTCCTAAGAAAAGAGAGCGTTGAAGACTTACGTCTAATTCACAGGTCTGAAAGAGCCACAAAAGGTAGACCTCCAAAGATATTTGCTGATGAATTTGCTAAGGCGGCAAAAGCTGTAACTGCTGTTAATAGCTCTAGGAAGGTATTTGAACCTTCAAGCTTCCAAGAGCTTTGGACTCAAAGGATGCTGAACCATGGTTAACTGCCATGAAGGCTGAGCTTGATTCCTTGGAGAGGAACAAAACATGGGAGCTAGTTCCCACAGTTCCAGGGATGAAACTGCTTGACAGTAAATGGGTCTTCAAAGCAAAGACAGATCAAAATGGCAAGATAGACACAAAGCCAGATTGGTAGCCAGAGGTTTTTCACAGGTACCAGGAGAAGACTATCACGAGACCTACTCACCCACCGTGAGATATGAGAGCATTAGGCTTATGCTCAAGCTTGCTGCAGAAGAGAATCTACACGTTTCTCATCATGATGTGAATACAGCGTTTTTGTACGTAACCTTGGGTGAATCACTTTATATGCTTCCACCTGATGGCGTAGAGGTAAAACAGGGATTTATTTGTTCTCTGAAGAAGTCCCTATATGGTCTCAAGTAAAGTGCACGATGGTGGCACTCTAAACTCACTGAAGTGTTGTTTTCCCTAGGTTTTCAGCAAAGTAAAGCCGATCCATGTGTATTTGTCAAAGATACACTGTATTGCTTGTTTTATGTTGATGATATTCTTTTCTTTTGGAAGGATGTCAAAATGTCCAAGAGCGCCCTAGCTCAACTGAAGAAGCACTTTGACATGAAAGATCTTGGTGAGATAACCAACTACCTATCTCTGGAAATAGAGAAAGACCAAGGTGGTAATATTTTAGTACACCAGTCACAGAAAATTGCTGATGTGTTAACCAAACTAAACCTGATGGATGCTAACCCTGTAGACACACCAATGACAACAGAAGTGTGTTTGGCAAACTAAACTCCATTGCCAGATGTTCAAGACCTGACATTGCAGTTAGCTGTAACTTGCTAAGCAGACAAGTCAACAATCCTACTGTTAAGGACTGAAAAGCTCTGAAATGCATAGAACGCTATTTGAAAGGCTCTCTGCTCTCACAAGGAGAGGATGTAGCTTAGTAATAAAGCATAGCATGTAGCCATACATCTCATCACTTCTGCTGCTTTGATTCTCTGCTGAATGGAATGTGCCGGAGGCCTCATCAAAGGCTCAGGTCGTTAATTATTCGTTGGGAGGGCGATTCTGGAAGATGAGCTTTATCAGCTTTATCAGCTCGATTGTAACCTAGATTCTGACAGAGGAAGGGGTGAAAAAGACTTTTAAAACTTTCCCACCATATCCCAGAATACAGTTTGTAGAGCATCATTGCTATATCATTGTTACATCACTGACATGTCACAAAAGGGGTGGGGTAGACGGGTTACACTAGTTTAACCATAGCAAACATGTCCAGACAAGTCCTTGGTACAAGATTAGCATAAGCAGACATGTCAGGCAAGACTCAGGTATAAGGTTAGCATAGACAAACACCTCTGAAGTCCCATCACCCAAAGTACAATAGAACTTCCTTTGATGTCTGGCCCCTTGGCAAGTTTGGTGATGGGATAAGCTTTCCTTGGCCCAGCTCAGCAATTATCACCCCTAGACACTTCCTGGAGTCCTTTTTCAAGGGGAAAAATAGGTTTGGAATGGAGGAAACTGGCAAAGGAGTTGATTTTATATTGTTTTTAAAGCTAGGTAACTTCCCTGAGCTGTTAAGTTGAAAGGATACATTCAGGCATAATATTTGTAACATTTAACAACTTTAAAGATGTGCCCCCTGTCAGCTTCGCCTTTGAGCCAGTGCCACCGACTGGGCTCAACCACTTCAGCCCCAACTGGGCCAGGCGAGCTGGGATACTTTCTGGGGCTCCATGATCACTGCAGATGGTGACAGCAGTCACAAAATTAAAAGACTCCTGTTTCTTGGGAGAAAAGCAAGGACAAACCTAGACAGCATCCTAAAAAGCAAAGACATCACCTTGCCAACAAAGGTCCGTATAGTTAAAGCTATGGTTTTCCCAGTAGTGATGTCTGTAAGTGAGAGCTGGACCATAAAGAAGGCTGATCGCCGAAGAATTGATACTTTTGAATTATGGTGCTGGAGGAGACTCTTTAGAGTCCCATGAACTGCAAAAAGATCAAACCTATCCATTTTGAAGGAAATCAGCCCTGAGTGCTCACTGGAAGGACAGATCCTGAAGCTGAGGCTCCAATACTTTGGCCACCTGATGAGAAGACTCCCTGGAAAAGACCCTGATGTTGGGAAAGAAGGAGGGCACAAGGAGAAGGGGATGACAGAGGACGAGATGGTTAGATAGTGTTCTCAAAGCTACCAGCATGAATTTGACCAAACTGCGGGAGGCAGTGGAAGACAGGAGTCCCTGGCATGCTCTGGTCCATGGGGTCACGAACAGTCAAACACAACTAAATAACTAAACAACAACAAACTTGCCAAATGAACCTTATATTGGCCCGTTTGACAAGACCAGCTGCCATGTTTGAGTTGGGGTTTTTTTGGGAGGGAGGCTTAAGCATCATTTTAGGAGGCAGCAAATGGTCACATTTAAGAACTGTGGAATCAGTTATCTGTCACATGAGAAACAAGGCCTGATTCCCGCCACCGCCCCTTAATCCTCTCTAGCTATTTGCTGATCCATCAACCCTGATGGAGCTAAAAATATCCCCAGTTCCCCGAATTCCTGTCAAAACTGTCCCAAGGTGGTGTCAACCATAAATTTTCCCTACTATTTGGAACACATCTGACAAATTGATTCAAATCAACATTCATAAGCATGGAAACGAAAATGCTTCCCTGGTTGTCCACTTCCAGTCTCAGCTCTTGGCAGACTGTTTCTGAACTGGGAGGCATTGGCTGGTTCCTGTCACCTGAGAGCTGGAGGTTTCCAGAGAGAGAGCGCAGAGTGCTCAACCAGATGCTGAGACTTCAGCTAGAGTTCAACAACACAGTTGCTTGCTATATGCAATTTGGAGACAAAGAATCCTTTATTTTCAGTCAGATTCAGAACTATTTCCTGTCTTCTTACCTATGAATAACATTTCTGTTCCACACTCCCCTCATCAAACCCACCACAAGATATATTGCTTTCACGCACACAGCAACCCTGCGAGGGAGGTTTCGCATAAAGATGGTGACCAGCTTTAAGTCACCCAATCAGCTTCACGACTGAGGAGGGATTTGAATTGTCCCCGGCATTTGTGACGTCGATCCTTGGACTCCAGCTACCATGAGCCCCAGCCAACGTGGCCAGCGGCCAAAGAAGACGTGAGTTGCAATTTGACATCATCTGGAGGGGCCACAGGTTACCCAACAGGTCTGTTCAGCGCCTTGACCTTCTCCTGGCGCAGCTGCTCTTGGAACTCCTCATACTGAATGTGCTTTGTCCTGTAGTGCCTCTGCAGGTTGGCCTTCTTCAGGACAGAGAGGGCCTCACCACAAATGAGGCACGTGGGCATGCCTTCCAGCTCCACAAAGAAATAGTTGTGTGTCCATCTTTTTTGAAAATGCGGCACTCCAAATCTCCAAATCCTCTTCTTGTGGAAACATTGTGTCCAGAAACAGACAATCAGGCAGACGGAGCTGTTCTAATATGGGAGTCCTATGCTGCCTATAGCCAGCCCTGGTCAGTAATGTGTCTGCAGAAATTTGAGCCATTGAAGTCTCTGAGCTCTTTTCAAAGGCAGCCCCAGGTAGAGTGTGTTAAAGTAACTCCTACGCATTGTGGCACCAGATTGCTTTCTTTTTTTGTAATTATCTGTTTGTTTTAAATTCTGTAGCTTAAATTCTCTTGATGCTTGTTTTTTTGAGAAGGGCCTCTTACGGTCACAAAGCAATGATTTTCAGTGCAGCTCCATAACACTGATTGCGCCCTCACACTGCCTCTTTTTGTGTGGGGATTTGGATCCAGAAAAGGAGCAGACGGGGAAAGGTTAAGGAGAATCCCACCCACCCCCCGCACCACCCTTAGGTGTGCTCAGCCTTCACCTGCTTCATGACTCCACCTTGCATGAGAAAGAAGGAAGGAGCTGCAGAAAACAGGAAGTGGTCCTTCAACCGGCCAGGACATCTCACCATCACAGACAGATCCAGTCTCCTGCTGTGGAGTCAAGAGTGGCCCTGGGATGGCATAGAGAGGAGGGGAAGGGGTCAGGGACAGAAGGGATGGCAGGGCTCCAGATGGTCCCTTGGACCCCTCCCCTGACACAAAGGGGAGCTCCTCTTCTGTGGCTGAAAGCATTGGCGTGGTTTGATTTTGTCAGGATTGCAAGGAAGCATGGAAGGAAAGGTAAAAAACAGCTATGCGGTTTATTAAAGTTAATTAAAGTATCTGTGGTTTTTCCCCTGGGTGAGTTTGTTGGTGTCTTCTATGTTTCCTACTTGTACTGAAGCTCTTTCCACATTCAATACATTTAAATGGTTTCTCCCCCGTGTGAGTTTGTTGGTGTATTCTAAGAGTTCCACTTTTGCTGAAACTCTTTCCACACTCAAAACATTCAAATGGTTTCTCTCCCGTGTGAATTCGTTGATGTATTCTAAGTGATCCACTATCACTGAAGCTCTTTCCACATTCAATACATTTAAATGGTTTCTCTCCCGTGTGAGTTCGTTGGTGTATTCTAAGAGTTCCACTTTTGCTGAAACTCTTTGCACACTCAAAACATTCAAATGGTTTCTCTCCCGTGTGAGTTCGTTGATGTCTTCTAAGTGTTCCACTACGACTGAAACTTTTTCCACATTCAATACATTTAAATGGTTTCTCTCCCGTGTGAATTCGTTGGTGTATTCTAAGTGTTCCACTTTCAATGAAGCTCTTTCTACATACAGTACATTTAAATGGTTTCTCCCCCGTGTGAGTTCGTTGGTGTATTCTAAGTGCACCACTTTGACTGAAGCTCCTATCGCACTCCATACATTCAAATGGTTTCTCCCCTGTGTGAGTTCGTTGATGTCTTCTAAGTGTTCCACTACGACTGAAGCTCTTTTCACATACAGTACATTTAAATGGTTTCTCCCCCGTGTGAGTTCGTTGGTGTCTTCTAAGTGTTCGACTTTCATTGAAGCTCTTTCCACATTCAAAACATTCAAATAGTTTCTCCCCCGTATGAGTTCGTTGATGTATTCTAAGTGCTCCACTTTCACTGTAGCTCTTTCCACATTCAATACATTTAAATGGTTTCTCCCCTGTATGAGTTCGTTGATGTATTCTAAGTGCTCCATTATCACTGAAGCTCTTTCCACATTCAATACATTTAAATGGTTTCTCCCCTGTGTGAGTTCGTTGGTGTACTCTAAGTGTTCCACTTTTGCTGAAACTCTTTCCACATTCAAAACATTCAAATCGTTTCTCCCCCGTATGAGTTCGTTGATGTAGTCTAAGTTTTCCACTTTTCACATTCTTTCCACATTCCGTAAATTCAAATAGTTTTTCTCCTTTTTGAGTTTGTTGTTGTATCAATTTCTTTGTTCTTTCGCACAAATTCACATGTGGCTCCATAGAATTCTGACTTTCATCTTCCTCACCTGTTTGGGAGTCTGGGAGGAAAGAGAATCCTGTTAGACTTTCAAGAAAGACAAAAAGGGAACTGAACACATGTCAATCCCAATCTGCACCTTCTCTCATTGTAACACCTTCATTCTCCACTATCCTCTCTAGGTTCCAAATTTTACGAAAGCTGATGAGATAGTGGCAAGTGCAACACATGATCACTCCATTCAAACTTAATAGAGCAGCATCATTTTATAATACAGATCTATGGCGGAATTGGCTTATTAGACACATCTATTGGACAGGAAAATTGGCTTCCAGGTGGAAAAAATCAAAATTAGAAACAGAACTGTTAGAACCCAATACTAAGAACTTATCAAGAATGTATAACTTGCTGTTGAAATGGAATACACAAGATGAAACAGTGAAATCAGCTATGATAAAGTGGGCACAAGATATTGGTCATAACATTATGTTTGCTGACTGGGAACAGTTGTGGACCACCGGTATGAAATTTACGGCATGTAATGCCTTAAAGGAAAATATTATGAAAATGATTTATAGGTGGTACATGACTCCAGTCAAGCTTGCAAAAATTTACACTTGTCTGATAATAAATGTTGGAAATGTAAAGAAACTGAAGGTACTTTTTTTCACCTTTGGTGGACATGCCGAAAGATTAAGGCTTTCTGGGAAATGATATATAATGAAATGGAAAAGGTATTTAAATATACCTTCCTTAAGAAACCAGAGGCCTTTCTCCTGGGCATTGTCAGCCAATTGGTGTGAAAGAAAGACAGAACATTCTTTATGTATGCTACAACAGCAGCAAGAATACTCATCGCAAAGTATTGGAAGACACAAGATCTACCCACCTTGGAAGAATGGCAGATGAAGGTGATAGACTATATGGGACTGGCAGAATCCGAGACCAGGGAAAAGAGACGGCGGAAGAAGATTGGAAGAAATTTAAGAACTATCTTAAGAAACATTGCAAAATTAATGAGTGTTAAAATGATGCGGCTTTAGAAAGTAAGTGGATTACAGCTGTAAAGATTAAGTTAAAAGAAAAGAAAGGTTAACAATTAGATAAAATTAAGGGTGAGGATTTGCTGAACTAAATATTTGAAATTGGAATGCAGAAAGGGGAGGTATGAGGAGGTCGGTGAAGTAAGTTTTAGGAAAATAAGGTTTTGAAATTATACTAGTTTTTTCTTGTTTGTGTTTGTTTGTATTGTTGTGTTTGTTTATATAATTTGTGAAACCTTAATAAATATCTTATAAAAAAAATATTAGACACATCAATTTTTTATTTCTGAAGTGAAGAAATGATCTCAGGCTCAAGTAACAGTGTCTCCCATGTGAAATAAGTAAAACTTAAGTGCTACATTTCACTGTAAAAATATTGCACTATGTTGGAACCTAAGAAGAGCCTGCTGGATCAGGCAAAGGCCACCTAGTCCAGCATCCTCTTCTCACAGAGGCCAACCAGATGCCTGTGGGAAACCGGCAAGCAGGATTGGAGCACAAGAGTCTTCTCTGCCTTCCTGTGCTTTCCAGACACTAGTATCAAGAAGGATTATTGCCTAGGACCATGAGGGCAGAGCAGTAACATCAGTCTTATCCTTTTTTTCAAGCTATCCATATTGCTGGCCGTCACTGTCTCCTGTAGGATGGATTCCATAGATGAACTACGCTTCTGTTTATTCATCTTTTGCAGCCCTTAAAGTAAAGGCTGATAAATGTATTATGGGCTACGCTTGTGTGGGCTGCAGTCTGACAAAGTGGACTCTTGACCAGGAAAGCTGGTGCCACTATAAACCTCTGAGTCTCTTTGTTGGCTTTGTGTACTTATTTTGGAATTTGCACCAAGGTTGTACCACAGTATCTCCATGGAAGCTTAGGAACGGACCAAGTTACAGGGTTTCAGTTCTGTGAATCTCAAGCCTCTCGTCCCTCCGCTGACAGAGCCTGAGAATGCAAGAGATGTGATTCAGTTGGAAGGTGAAGCAGGGGAGGAGCAGCCAAGCTGCAGCAGGAGCAAAGAACAAAGAGCAGGAAGAGGGGGTGACGGGGGGTGGGGGCACAGACTGTTATCTCCAGTTTGAGCTCTTACACAGAGCCCCCGAAATAGCCTGTCCAAAAAATCGTAGGCTCGAGAGAATCTGCGAGAAGAGGTGAAAAGAAAGCGAAAGTGGGGCCTTCTTTGCTGGAGGACTCGGCAACTGCAAGCTGGGATGAACAGGCCGAAGACTGAGCTCCACAGTGATGAGTTTGAGCAATAAACCTGAGATAATTACTACTGGAGTTGTCTTACGTGTGTGCGGGAGAACCAAGCCATTACACAGGGGCGCTATAAATTATTATCCCACTCACTCACTCTCACAAACAACCCCAGTCTGTAAGATTGGCAAGTTTACACAATTCGCTTATAATACCAGACGCTCTTGGACTTTATATGCCCAATCCTATGTGTACAGCCTCCAGCCACAGGAATCGTGTATCATGATAACGGGTCCTTTGTCCCTTAAGTCCACCAAACTGGGGAGGTGCATGCATTTATTGTGTTTTGATGCTGGTGGAATGTATCATTCTGACCCTGTCTATAAAAAATAAGAGTAATAGAAACAATCTAAATACATTAATTATAAATAATTATGGGAAGCATTTCCATTCCCCTTCACCCATTTTTCAGGATTGGTGTGCAACATCATTATCATCAATTATTCCTACCGTGGAAATAACACCTAAGATTTCAAAGCCTGGAGGAAGAAAATCTGCCCCCACTACTTTAGGAAAAGGATTCAAGAAACAAAGAGCTGCTTTGCAGAAGGCTTCACCTCTTCCTTCTTCCTGTCAGGAACTTCCTTCCATTTGTCTCCTCTCCATCTTTTCCTCTTTCTCCCTCCACCATCCATCTATCCCTGTCCCCATCTCCTCTCCCTTGGAACTCACCAGATTTCTCCAAGGGTCCTGGGAGGGAATGCTCAGAGGTTGTGGGGAGGGATGCGGGAGAGAGCCTGACCAGGTCAACCGTCCATCTTCCTCCTTCCATCCTGGCCAGGCTTGCAGGTTCAGTCTCAGCTAGGTTTGCAGGTTCAGCTTCCTGAGGAGCGCAGAATCCAGAGCAAGTTGCAGCTTCCTGGGAGGGAGGGAAGAAGAAGCCAAGGGAGTCTGAGAGCCCCTGCAGGGATTCTCCTGCCCAAGACATTCCGCTGCCCCTGAAGAAGCCCCAATTGGGCACCCTCTTCCCAAAAGCCTCCACCCATTTTCAAACACTTTTGGCAATTCCTTTCACCTGCCTGTCCCACCTCCCTTCCTAAGGCTAGCATGGTATGCCCATTAGTGGCCTGAGAGGAGATCCCTTGGAACTTAAGAGTTAATTTGCAAAGGACTGCTCTGAATACATGGGTGGCCCTTGCATGGAGAAGAAGGAAGCCCCTTGCTTGCATCTGGACCCCCTGGGAGAGGCGGTGGATCCACCCACTGCTCCCTCTGCCCCCTCCTCTGCCCTCCTGCCCTGGAAACACCCCTTGCTCCTGTTGCTCAGGGGAGAGAGGCAGGAAGAGCCTTCAAACCCATCCCTTTCCTCCTCTGCAGCCCAGTGAGAGGGGAAGGAGCGGCAGTGCCTGGTTCTCTTCAGATACACACATGGTTTACTGGGATTGTGAATGAACACGTCCTCTGCCTTCCATGCGGTGGGAGTGGGGGGGTTAAAAGTGTTGAGGAGACCCCCCCCCAGTCCTTTTGGGAAACAGGAGCTTTGGTCAGGAGTAAACAACTTATATGGCAAGTTCACAAGATAAGAACTTTGGAGCACTGCTTGCTCTTACTATGTGTTTGGACCTAGAGGACAACATACACGTTTACACCATGTGATTTCTTAAAGAGGACACTTCTTTAAAACCTATTTTTACTGCTATTCTTTCCAATTCTATACTGCCCTTTCTCCAAAGATCACAGGGCAGCTTACAATAGAAAAACACAGAGATGCATAGCAGAGTAAGAAATAAAAACGACAACCCTCCCCCCCCCAATCCAGTCCATAGATAGTTTATTGAGCCAAACCCCTGGGAGAAGAGCAATGCTTTCACTTGGTGCCTAAGGAAGGAAGGAAGCCGGACACTGAGGCTGGGGTATAAATATTAAAATTAAAATTAATACTATTATTAAGGCGATCCTGGCCAGCAATGCCCACCCCTCTCCCCTTGCCCGCCTCCTTCCCTGCAGCTCCCTTTCTATCAGATCCCTGCAGAAGGAAGCTTCTCTCCCCCCCCCCCCTTTAAGGAAACAGCTCCCTTCCCTCCCTTCTCTTCTCCCCGTCCCGGGGCTTCTCATCCTGGACCCCCTCGCAAAGCCCCTTCCCTCCTTCCCCGCCATTGGCTTTGCACTCACCCAAAATCCTGGGCAACGGGGGCGGCAATGGGAGCCCCCGCGTGGGAGGCAGGGAGTGAGGGCGCTTAATTAGGAGGCTTGATTAGGAAGCAGCCCCCTCCTCCGCCTCCGCAGGATGCAACCCCGCTTCCCGCCTCCTTCCCTCCCTCCTTTGCAAGCCCCAATTTTATCTCTGCTGGTGAAGCCGGAAGTGGAGGCAACTCTGAGGAGGAAGGAGAAGTTTGTCTCCACGCTCAGCCTCTTGTCTGTTATTTGATAATTGGGGGAAGGAAAACCTTGTAGCACCCAACCAATGGGGAGACGAGGGAGGGAACGTGTGCATAGGGAATAGAAGCTCATTCTTTGCCCCAGCTGGACTGTGCCTGCTTTGGCTCCCAGCTCTTGCAAGAATATATTGTCGTCACTGCTTCACCAGTTTTGTTCAGATTGCATTATAAGGAGCAAGCTCAAGGGTCTTGTTATAGGAAAATCCTTGGGCTCACCTGGATTACCAAACAAAGACGCCAGCCAGGAATATAGGAGCAAACAGCAGCCAGGAGGCCTGATCTTTATTTAAAAAAAACTATTGCAACAGGACTTCCACCCGCCCCCAGGAAGGAAGGCCAGAACAAAGGATGGCTCCCACTTTGATCAGTTTTACAGAGATACCTACAACACCCCTAAAATTACATCATGGATACATTACAAATTACATCACAAATTGGGAGGGTCTGGCGACAGAAACCTGAGCATCAGGGCTTGCCCCACGCTTCAACTGACCTCCACCATACACTCATCAAGTGATGCAAAAGAGATATTTACATGTCCCTGTTT